AACTAATTTTGTTAGGTTTCTAAAATCATTGCTACATGATAGTGTAGTTAGTTCATACATATCTATGTTGATGCTAAGGCCTATCAAATCATTTGAAAGTACTTAATATTAGTAGGATAAATATTGTAGGAATTTTTATGGTAAATTGGTGATAGCTTTAATCCTAAACTTTTTACAGTAGCTTTATTGTATTATTATGTGCTTACTGTAATTTTTGTAGCCCTAAGATAGCTTGTTTATTAGGGTAGCTAAATATCCATTAAACCTTTAATATGAATAAAAGAATAATATTGACTTATGAAATTAAGCACTTATTAGGATGAGCTTGACACTTGATTTGATAGAGATGATGGTTAGATTAATATCTTAGTCATTAGAGCTAGCTTGTTAGTATGGCATATGTGTCCTTATTTTAAGAATTGTTGTTGCCTAAATACTAAATAGCTGCATCATCATCATCGCATGCATATAGAGAACGAGTCAGCGGAGATCGTGACGAACGGCGAGCACGAGTTCGAGAAGATCGTCGAGGAGTATGAGGAGGAGATTCTCGTGCAGGAGGAGGTCCCAGAGCCGCCACTGGCTGGCGCAGTTGACACCGCGCCTGCCCAAGGCAAGCCCCAGTTCATAACCTCTATTTTTCATATCCACTGTATATATGTGTGTGTTGTGCATTTACGTTGCAGGAGTTTTATGGAAACCACATGTATATATATATATCTACCCTATGAGTCCTACTAGTGTAGGTTCGAGTCACTGCCGTTATTCACAATAGGTGATTATTATTACTCTCATAATAAAATGATAAAAAGAAAATAGAGACCGGGTAGGGATATGGCATGGGTTATTAGTGGGTGTAACAAGTTGTGTCCCGCAGCCACGGGGCTTAGCTTGGTTACACTGTTTTCCCTGTTCGAGTCGATTGAGGACCGTTCGTTGCTGTGGATGTTAGTCAGGTCATAGACTTATTATCCTAAGCACATACTTATTTATGGGAGCGGGAAGGCTCGTTGCGCTCTTGTTGTGGGTTCCGGCTCTTTCTGAACTGACTGATTGGAGGCGGGAAAAGGTGGATGTCTAAGCACCATAATGAGATCAGGTCTCAAGTGTGGAGGCTTGGAGTCCAAGTTTGGACGGAGACCTGGACCCCTCGACAGGAGTGGAATGGGTTGGTCTCGTTTGTGCCTGGGGTATAAGCAGGGCATGTGTTTCGGGGTACCCAGCTGGGATACATTAGTTCACAAATCGTCGTTTCTGTGAGACGGTACGACTTGGCTATGGTCTAGCACCGTAGTAAGAACTGAAATATGAAAGATGATAAAATAATTCTGATTGCTCAACCCTTGCTTGAAAGTAGAACAGGTGCCTACCTAGAATGGTTAGCTAATGAAGTAATCCTATATGCTAATAAAAACTTGGTCTTAAAGATGAACTACTAGTAATGCTTTCCGCAAACAAAAGAACCCAGCAAACCATATTGTGTATCATATCCGTGAGAGTCGGGAAATTATTCCCACTAGTCGGGTAAATCTTGCGAGTACATTGTGTACTCAGGGTTTATTTTACCTTATTGCAGGTGCAGCTTGAGGAGTTAGCTCTTGTGTGGAGTATTCTTTAGGTGGGCACAGATGGATCCGTGTATCATTTCCGCTATATGAATATTATATTCCGCTATTTAATTATCGCACTCTAAACTCTGGTATTGTAAAAAATAATTTCCAAGACACTATGTTGTATGGAATGGACTAAGCATTGTAAGCTCGTACTCATTATTGGATTCTGGGTGTAAAACGTGGATTGTTTCAAGTTCTCCCTTGGGATGTGCTCGACGGAACTGCCTGTTTTAGCCCATTTTTGGGGCGCTTAGTGTCTAGTTCTGCCACACTAGCTTGCTAGCAAGCAAGTGAACCTTGGTAAAAAATCATTGTGTCATCTTGACTCTGAGGAATTCATTTGGTATTCATTGTGATTGTTTGATTGTCACTTGCCACAGCGGTATAACCCTCACTACCTCTCTTGTATTTACATTCTAGTGTAGCTAAGCTCTTTACTGTAACTAGTTTTGAGAGCTAGCTTGTGTCTTGTTAGCTTGATTAGTGAGGCTCTTAAGTTAGTCTTTAAGAGCTCACTAACTTATCAAGTAATGACCTAGACTTTGAGTGATGTAGTGATCATAGCAATTATAATTGTGGATAGGTGGTTTGTATTTTAGTAGGCTAACGCAAAACTTGTTTTACTCTATTTAGTTGTCTAACCACTTGGTTTAAGTGTTATTGTAGAAATTTTTATAGGCCATTCACCCTCCCTAGCCATTTAGGACCTTTCATTTGCTAGGGTTAATGTGGGTGTCAAATTAGAGATGTACCAATATATGGAAGTTAGACACTTATCAAGTGAGATGTAGCAATATATGGAGATGTTCCCAAGGCAGCAGGGGAGATGTTCCCAAGCCAGACTACTACCGGTTGTTTTGGAACCCATAATGATAGAGTATCAGTGCCGGTTCATGGCTTTAACTGGTAGTGATAGGACAACCGGCAGTTATAGGTGGACTATCATTGTCGGTTCGTCAACCGGCAGTGATCGGCATGATACTATCACTGCTGGTTCAAGTCATAGCCCAGCAGTAATAGTCTATATATACATTATCAAATCATGTGATGGAGAGTCAAAGTTGTAATTGTAATATATCTTGATGGCAGTGAGATATATGTGATGTATTAATAATATAAAATATTAGATAGTAACATTTGTTGAAATGCATAATAAAATACATCTACACAAATTGGGAAATTCAGGTCATGGTCAAGTTGAAGGCACCGACCCGACAGCAAGTATCATACTCTCATTGCCGGATAGAAGCTTGACTCGATAGTGACCTTTATCCTAACAATGCAGGGTCTAGCCTTGACCTGGCACGGATATCCTCCTATCACTGCCGGGTCTGAGAACCAATAGTGATAAGGAAGCATAATGGTGTCGTCTGTTGATAACACTCTGCTTAGCCTGATTCCAGCAGTGATGCTGGGTTTGGACCCGACAATGATCCATGGATCTGGAGGTGTGTATATAACCACTTAAGTCTAAGGATCAAGCTAATATTTGCATGGGCTAACTTGATGACGTAAAGTGTGGTGACTTCGTCAATCTCGAGGATTTGTTAGCTCAGTCTTCAAAGATTTCAAAGATGCTTATAGAAGTAGGTGTGCGTGCGTTGTAAGTGTTTGTATTGTACTATATAATTCGCAAAAAAAAAACACCACGGATGAGAAGATTGGAACAATTTACACTCCCTCGTACCTCAAAACCTTAAACTCAGATACGGCACAGGGACTTCGGTGGGAGTGAGAATGATAAAGACATGCCTTTTATTTAGCTAAGATGCTGATGGGCAAGCAACGGAGGACAAACAACATGGCACTAGCCATTGAAGGTTCATTAATTTGACATATACCTGAAAGCTGTCCAACTAATATCGATCATTGCTGTCTTAGCTGCTGCACCATACAGTAATACAGAACAAGTGCATGTCATAGATCGGACAAACTCGCATCGAAGGAAGTCCGCGTACGCAGCACCTCATTTATGTGCCCAGAATCTGCCACCTGCTTTGTGATAATGCATGATATTCGTGGCGGTAATGTAAGCGCTTTGGAAGAGTCACGGTTGCTGATTGTGTGTTGTGTCGGAATTAGACGACGAGATGTACTTTCTTTGTCATCTGACAGTACTATTTCTCTTGTTCATTTATGGTGTTTCCACAGACCAGTGAATTTACGCTGGACGGACGCAGCGAAAAGAGGCATGGACTCTCCCTGTCTCTCTCCCGTAGTCCCGTGCTGCTGGGGCTGGGATAAAGACCTGCCATTGCAGCACTGCGTCGCAACTACTCCTGCACGATCTCACTGGAGTTACTACGACGTCTCTGTATGACTGTATCACTGCTACTGCTCTCAGAGTCAAGGTTCTGTTATATTGTTTAATTAAAAAAAGTGAGAGGTCGTATGAAAAAGAAATGCTCCCGATGGGTCCTCAAAAAAGAACAACTGCTACCTTCGTTTGCGATTAGAACTTTTACCATCGCGCACAATGAAGTATGATCGTGAATATATAGCTGCAATCCATTTTCACCTCACCTGGAAGCCGTTTTTTTGCCGACTAGTGGTATGTCCTCTCTATACGTGCTATACATATATCCATTCACATGGATATGTCACACACATCTCTCTCTCTCTCTCTCTCTCTCTCTCTCTCTCTCTCTCTCTCCAAACGTGCTATACATCCACTCACATGGATGCTCATTTCATGACCTCTCTCTCTCCCCCCCCATGGTCCTACGACACTATAGTGTGCAATGCCTTTGGCGTTATTGTCTGGCCGACGCGTCACAAAAGTACTCCCTCCATCTCAAAATTAAAGTCGCTATGAGAATCATACTGATCAAACTTTCTTAATTTTAATTTGGTTTGTAGAAAATACGTGCAACATTTATATCTCCAAATAAGTTTATTATGAAATTATATTCAACGATCTACCTAATGATACTAATTATGTACCATAAATATTAATATTTTGTTAAATATATTTCATCAAAGTTAAAAGTTACTAACTTTTTGAGAAACGAGAATGACTCTTTTTTTTTCCAGAGGGAGTAGGACACGTAGCACACACACCTCATCACCACACATATAGTCGTTGTCAACCTAATGAAGTCGAATGTTCGTACCGATATGATAAGACTGAATTCTGTGTGTGCGCGCGTTTTTTTCCCCGAATTCTTTCTGAAGGGCATGCAAGAGAGAATTGATGAGCCGAAGGTTATGAGGGTGTGGTAGTAGTTATTGTACTTTCCAGAGGGGCACTCTTCTCTCCCTCCTCATATTCACAAGCGCGTGCAGCTCTATAAATTGAGCTTGTCCAAGGACGACGTACAGTTCAGTTCACTGGTGGCTGGGACTAGTTCACAAATCACAAGGAAGCAGTGGTAGTGGTAGCTCGCAATGGCGACGAACCCCGGCCTCTTCACCGAGTGGCCATGGAAGAAGCTCGGCAACTTCAAGGTAGCTCCCCGACCCATCTCCATATCCTGCTTACGGTTCACGCACTCCCGTTGCCAGCTCAAGCAAACGTCCTTGGCTGATGCGTACATGGATGGCGCAGTCGCGCACACAGAGCGGCAGCTCAAGCAAAATTAGCAAGTACTAGTTCAGTTCATTCTCTGTTCACCGGCGTGCCATGCCATGCATGGCCATGTTCATGCACTGTGTCGGAACATGCATGCGTGCGTGGACTTGCTATACATGCACCTGTGAGACCATGCATCCAGTGGCGGATGCACGATGCGGGATAAGGGGGCTAAAACAATAGAGATGTTGATTTGCATGAAGATTTAATGGTGAAATTAAGTTTTTGCTATAGTGATTAGACTTGAAATCAAGACATTAGGGGGCTCCCTTTGGATCCGCCACTGCATGCATCCTACAGTTTTATGCTGCTGTGCGTTTCATGTTCCGGCCGACTCATGAGCATGGAAGCCACTGTATCATCCACCGACGCCGTTTCGTTTTCTTTTTTTTTTCGAAAACACGACTTCACGCGCATTAAGAATGATGCCTCGTTTTCTATATACTCTCTCTCTCTTTTTTACTTCTAGGAATACAGTTAACTAAGATCGAGATCAAGCAGTGTCATGCTGGCTGACGCTTGTTTGTGCATCATGCACGTTGTTGACGCTGTTGGTGCATGCAGTACCTGTTGGTGGCGCCGTGGGTGGCGCACGGCGTCTACCTCGCGGCGACCAAGGGGTGGAAGGCGGCCGACCTGGGGTACATGGCCATCTTCCCGTCGCTGCTCCTCCGGATGCTGCACAACCAGGTGTGGATCACCGTGTCCCGGCTCCAGAACGCGCGCAGCCGGCGGCAGATCGTGGACCGGGGCATCGAGTTCGAGCAGGTGGACCGCGAGCGCAACTGGGACGACCAGATCCTCCTCAGCGGCATCCTCCTGTACCTGGGCTCCATGTACCTGCCCAGCGGGCAGCACCTGCCGCTGTGGCGCACGGACGGCGCCGTGCTCATCGCGCTGCTGCACGCCGGCCCCGTGGAGCTCATCTACTACTGGTTCCACCGCGCGCTGCACCACCACTTCCTCTACACCCGCTACCACTCCCACCACCACGCCTCCATCGTCACCGAGCCAATCACCTGTAAGCTACAAGCCAGCCGCCGCCCTCTCACTTTCAATACACCGGCAAATTTGCTGCCAGTAATCGTGCATATGCAAGTTGGCAAATTTGCTGGTGGCAGACTCTGCCTCGATTTCGTCTCTAGGTTCCTTGGTAGAGCGAGCTCCTGCTCCAACTTGCTCCAAGACGAGTAGTACACGTACGGTGTTGGAGTGAATTATCTCATTTACATTACATTCTGAACGAAACAAAGAAGGTTAAAATCATTCTATTTTGACTTACAAACTTTATACTACCTCCATCCTGAAAAGGATGCATCCTTAGTCAAACATCAGAAGTTTAAATAAATTTTATATAAAAGAGCACCAATACTTAGGCCCTATTTGACACATCTCCACTTCACTGGTGAAGTTTTTTTCGCTTCAACTCCACGAGCAACTCTACTGGTGAATCTGAAGCTAACATTTGGTAGAACAACTCTACATGTGTAGCTTCTTAAAACATACTCTCACAGAAACCCACGCAAGGCCCATTAGGAGTGGGAGCTAGAAGAAGCTACTATTTTCAACTCCAATTTTCATCCACCCTTGTAAGAATATGTTTTAAGAAGCTCCTTAGGTGAAGCTATTTTTTGAACCGTTGGCAAGGGAGCTCCCTACCTATTTTTTTATTTTTTATCCTAGCCTAGAAATTCGTCTCCATGAGGATTCGAACCTAGCACGCTGGGGTGCTACCGAGAAGCTCCAACCAACAGGCTGGAGGCCCGTTCGCGTGACGCTATTTTATTTTACCCTGTTTGACATAAAATAGCTCCTTATAACATCAAATGAATAAATATGCTATTAAAATATATTACATGATAAATATAAATGATACTTTTTCATAAATATAAACTTAGTCAAATTTTTAATATAATGATTTAGCTTAGTACTATGTTAGAATTGTATTCTTTTTAGTGCGGAGGGAGTAGTAAGTGATGGGACATTTTTACTACAACAAAGAGTTTTTTTCCCTGTCCTACAGAACATTTTATGAAAAATCACTGTCCTGTAGACAATTTTTTAAAGAATCTAGTTCTAGGAGCTTAACATGGCTTTGGCATGGTCCCGGTCCTCCCGGACATCGACATCCAGATTTGCATGCATGTAAGTTGGTTCTTTCTTTCATCACTGTCACATTCCAGTCTGGTGCCTGCTTGGAACAAAGACCTTTCCAAGTAAAGGACAGTAAAAACATACGCTTTCCCTGTCAAAGGACTTTTACTGACCAGAGACGGCACTGCCAATCGGCATCACGTCTCCTGTCGTCTTGACGCCGAATTTGAGCCCTGGAGAGCGACCACTGGCCGATTAAGGACGAGCAAATCCGGGACCATGCGAAAGCCATGCTGCACAGTTGCTGCATGCCAGCTTCCGTAACCGAACAGAATCGAAACATGATCGAGTTCATTGCCGGTCACCACGTACACGCACTTATTACCACCGAATCACTATCTCCATCGGACAGATAGAACCCCCACAGTACAGTTCTACAACCCGTACATGTTATATCTTTTTCTTTACACACAAAACCGACCTCTAGTGCAGTACTACACTGGGTAACATTTCTAGATTGTCAGCAAGGAAACCAATATTCTTAAAATATGTTCTAGGGACACCATCGCTTTCTGATGTAATTGTCAGTCTTGATTCCAATAAAAAAAGAATGTAAAACAATATCTTCACTCATAAAATAGGAGTTCAATTCGTTTTTAAAAAGAATGAAATATAAGAGAAGCTTCTTAGTTCTCATGTAAAATCTAGAAATATAGAGCGTACATATGGTTAAGCTGGGAGTGTTGTGTGTACCTTCAGTATAGTGGCAGAGCTCTGCGTGCAGCTAGGCTTCAACAGCTGTAAGCATAGTGAATTCAACCATATGTACTGGCGCTCTGATTGGAGAACTCATGTTGGTCTTTGTAACCAGCATAGTGAGAGCACCTAAAGCCTTGTTTAGTTCCTCACCTTAAAGTTTAGTCCCTATCTTATCGGATATTTAGACACATACATAAAGTATTAAATATAGACTAAAAAATAACTAATTACACAGATTGCGACTAATTTACGAGATAAATTTTTTAAGTCTAATTAGTCTATGATTTGACAATGTGGTGCTACAGTAAAGCTACAACAAACATATGCTAATGACGGATTAATTAGGCTTAATAAATTCATCTCGCGGAGTACTGAGGACTTCTGTAATTTATTTTATTATTACTGTCCGAACACTCCTATGTGACATCCTGATGTAACACCCCTAAATTTTAGCCCCTAGATTTAAACACCACCTGATTCTTTAAAAAGAAGTACCTAAATAATAGTACTTCTAAATTCTGACTTCTGAGTAGTTCAAACTATCAGAGATGGAACTTTGAAGGGAAACAGTAGGTAAACCAGAATTAATGGCAGAGTAGTTTTGCAAACTATTATTATGGCACTCATTCAAAGGTGCGAAAACAGAGAAAAGTACTTGCACTAGACATGCCTTAGCCATGGAAATGATGTCACAAGAACTCACAGTCTATTAGGTAATAATGAATATTAGCCTGTTTTTCTTCTTCCCATCTCCATTGGTTTCCATAAACAGTAAGATAAACTGATACAGAAAAGCTGTAATTCAAACAAGGTCATACTTACAGCATGCATCTACACCTCAAAGAAATGTAAAAACAGAGAGATACGTCTGCAGCATACAAACAGGAGACTAGAGCGATCCACATGGCAAATAAAAACATTGTCAGACTTAGAGATCGACAGTTTTCTGAGGGAATATACCTAACCTGGTTCATGATCCTTCTCCAAGCAAGATACATAATCCCTGACCTTAGAAAGCAGAAAGACTGCAACAATAAAAATAACTTAAACCTTGAAACATTATCATATATCACAGATCATTTCCTTACAATAATTATCAGACAGCCCTCTTATGCACATCTAATGGTGCTTTTTTATTCCCTTTGGAGCAACTAGGGCATATTAAGATCAAATATTGTTCTCTTTTGCAGCTGTCATCCATCCATTTGCTGAGCTCGTGGCATATGAACTACTGTTCGGGATCCCATTGATTGTGTGCGCCTTGAATGGAACTCTTTCCATTCTTGCATTTGAGATCTACGTGATCTACATCGACTTCATGAACAACATGGGTCACTGCAACTTTGAATTGGTACCCAATTGGCTCTTCAAATGGTTCCCTCCTCTCAAGTATCTCATGTACACACCCTCGTAAGTATCTCATATAACTGTTGTTCTCCACAATTTATATGATTTGTTAACCAATGCAAGCAGGGTTGACTCAATAAATTATATTTTGTAAATTGAGTTATTTCCATGATTCCATATGTTGTTCTGAGTATATAAATAAACTTTTGCGACTTAGGTTTCATTCTCTTCACCACACTCAGTTCAGGACAAACTACTCCCTGTTCATGCCATTCTATGACTACATATATAACACCATGGACAAGTCATCAGATACATTGTATGAGAAGTCACTCAAGGGCAAAGAAGAAACAGTAGATGTGGTTCATCTTACCCATCTTACTAGCCTGCACTCCATCTATCATATGAGGCCTGGGTTTGCAGAATACGCTTCTAGACCTTACGCTTCCAAGTGGTATGTGCGGATGATGTGGCCCATGTCATGGCTTTCCATGGTTCTGACACGGACATATGGTTCTTCATTTACTGTTGAGAGGAACGTCATGAAGAAACTCAAAATGCAATCATGGACCATCCCAAGATACAGTTTCCATGTAAGAATCATGGTTAACTCAATATACAATATTTGCTTGATATTTCTCATAACAATGAGTGGGATCTCCAGTGTCAACCAAATCATCTTGTTTCACAAAAGAATCTAACAGAATCACCAACTTTTTCTGTTCTGCAGTATGGATTGACTTGGGAGAAGGAAGCAATCAATAGCCTGGTTGAGAAGGCGATATGTGAAGCTGACAAGAAAGGAGCTAAAGTTGTTAGCCTCGGACTCCTTAATCAGGTATGCCATTTATTCGGTTATTAGAAGTAGACAGCTCAAAAAGATGATCTCTCATTTATATGAAAGTCGCATGAATATGCATTATTAATCTGGAAGTATGGAAAGAAAATTATTAGTGTAACTGGACAAAAATGGTTTAGTTGTATGCGCTGAAATAGGCAAAAATCTAACAATAAGAAAAGAGTGCAGATTGGGTGCCCAGGGGGGCTGGCGCCCTCATTAGCTAAAATACCATGTTGCAATGTTTCAAAAATCATCACAAAAATCATGTATAGCATACATAAAGTTAAGTATTGCCTCAACAATTCAGTTTGAAATTGATCTTAGATGCCAAGAAACAAAATAGACAAGGAATGAACCTGGCATTGTTCATCATGTGCTGACACTGACATTCTGAATCTGAATTGTTGCGGCTACACTTAACTTTAAGTGTAGTGCATACATGATTTTTTTAAACATTGTAACATGGTACTTTAGTCCTTTAGCTAACGAGGGCGCCATATGATTTTCCATAAGAAAATTATCAGAAAGGTGGTAATAGGCACTTATTCCAATGGTGCTTACATGCTAATGAACTATATAGAAATAGCATAGCATGGTCTCATAGTTATCTCAAGTCTAAAGTCTAAACAAACATTCATCTGAGTCACAAACTCATGAAATCTCTTTATCATTTGTTCACTTGCTCATGATAGTGCTCATTCAGTGTAATTACCATCGACATGCAAGGCAAGTAATGAGTTATACTAGCAACAGACTGCAGAATAGAAATAATAATTAACAATAATATATTTGCTGACAGGCACATAACCTCAATGGAAATGGAGAACTTTATCTTCAGAAGTTCCCAAAGTTGGGGGTCAGACTAGTAGATGGCACCAGCTTAGCTGCTGCAGTGGTTATGAATAGTGTTCCTCAAGGCACAGATCAAGTTGTTCTCGCAGGAAATATTTCAAAAGTTGCTCGTGCTGTTGCTGCAGCATTGTGTAGGAAGAATATCAAGGTAATAAATAAAAAATTGCACACTTGCTTCATGCTAATCACCTGCATAAATAAACTTTGCACTAATATGTAATCCCAACGCATATTGCTCAGGTAGTAATGACCAACAAGCAGGATTATCATTTCCTTAAGCCCAACATGGCAGAAGATGCAGCTGAGAACCTTTTGTTTTCAAAGACAGTTACTGCAAAGGTTAAAGAGACTTCTGACTGTCATACATTTTCTTAAGAAATGGATAGGAGATGTCATATAAAAGGCCATCAAATCCAATTGTCAAATAAATCACCTGTTGGCCTCAAATTTTGTAGGTGTGGTTAATTGGGGAAGGTCTAGATGCTTCTGAGCAGTTTAAGGCACAGAAAGGGACCCAGTTTATCCCATATTCACAGTTTCCACCAAGAATGGCACGCAAGGACACCTGCACCTACTCGATAACTCCTGCAATGTCTGTGCCTAAAACACTACAGAATGTGCACTCCTGTGAGGTAAATGAGGTCCCACTGAACTTGTAACTCTGCAGGCACTTTAATGCATGATCTCATTGAGTCTACCAATTTGAAAACTTTGCAGAATTGGCTGCCAAGGAGGGTCATGAGTGCATGGCGCATTGCTGGAATGGTTCATGCATTGGAGGGATGGAACGAGCATGAGTGTGGGGACATCGTGCTAGACATGGAGAAAGTGTGGTCTGGTGCTCTTCTGCATGGATTCCACCCTGTGGCTCAAGTTTGATTCTCCGGTTGCAATTGCAAGGCAGCGCAATAAGTTCTTGAAAGTTATGCCATATGCTCACGAGAACTATGCTACAGATATAGTAGTATGTTGATGTTCTATTCTCCATGCTCTGCCTCTTATCACTTAAGACCTTCGCTATCTAAAATTTAAGATGAACTCCTTTCGTATAAAAGCATTCTGTGGAAGCAGGATAAAAAAACTGCATCTCTATAATGATAAGCAGGGATGGGATGTAGAATATAAGTGTTCTGATCTACTGCTAGCTGTTTACTACTTTATTCAAGCCCTACGCTCAAAGACCGATGATGAATTAATTCTGCATCCATATTTCTCCATGCATCAATGCATATTTCAACAAGAAACAGGTATGGGAAATGTTGTTCACTCTCCATGTAGAGATGTGGATGAAAGATCCGGTTCAATGCTTCATTTTGTTCATGATCCAGAGAAAGTAGAGATGGCATGTAGCAACTTTTTCACATAATATATTCAGAAATAGTGACCCCATATTGCCCAAGACAAAATGCAATAAACCATGACCAACATATGCTCTGCTGACACAGAAATGGAGTAGAATCGCATAAGCTCTCGTAGAACCTATAAGATACTGTAGCACTGCATAGTGATCTTTGAAACAAAGGATTTATGATATCTTATCGTACAAATAAGATTTTGTTGAAATGGGGAACTTCAAAAACCATATCACAGTGTTGTAATCCTAGCCATTTATCAACTGCTTGCCAGTACATCCATCTAATTTTGGTTTGCAACACATAATAACTGTACTGCGAAGGCGGTCACTGATAGTAACTCCAAATCCCTACCGTTTCATCCTTGTCAAATTCCACATTAAAATTTTCGTCATTTTCTGTTCTCCTTGCCACAGCAAATTTCTGAATCGGAACTTGCTGTACTTCTCGGGTTTTCTCGTAAGGAGGAAGTGAAGCTAATAGAAGTAGACCAAACAAACTCGCTCATACCAGGAAAAAAAAAACAGAATGCCGAGAGCGAAAACATCTCACTGTGTACGGCAGCGACGGGCGGAGCAGGCAAGGCCGCGCAGACGGCTCGAAGGATTCCACGAGCGGCGCCCTAGATGCCGGAAACGGAAGCCGAGGAGGGCAACTGTCGATGCACGGCATCTCCCCTCCTCCACGGTGGCCGCCGCCAGCGGCCGCCGGGCCTGGCCCGGGCTGCTTGCGGTCGAGAGGGGCTATTCCGTCCACGTGAGACGTTGGATCATCATTGGGCGGCTCAGATTATGGAGACTGGTACTACTAAGACGGTCTCCGACAACGCAAGCAAACGGCGACGCAACGCAAAATCCATCTTGCACCGTGTTTTGCGTCCCAAAATCACGCTTCAACGGAGGACGCAAACAAGGCAGCCATTTTGCCTTGCAGGCGAATTGGAAGGCAAAAACGCGTTGTCTCTCTTGACGACGCAAAACACTGTAGATGGAGGCGCCGCGCGTGGAGAGAGAGAGAGGCAAAGAGAAAGGAGGTCGAGAGCAGAGAGAGAGGGAGGAAGGAGGCGGAGGGGGAAGGGGCCGCGCCACGCCGCCACCGGATCTGGCCGGGGGAGGAGGCCCCGTCCCCGCGCCGCACTCCTGGACCGGATCCGCCGCCGAGGATCCACGCGAAGCCGCCGCCCCTCGGACGCCGTGCTCGGAGGAGAGGGAGGGGTCGCCGTGCCGTGGTCGGAGGAGAGGCGCGGCCTAGATCCGCCGGAGAGCCGTCGGAGGAGAAAGAGGGGTCGCTAGTGCGAGCCGCGCTGCACGCGCCGGGCCCGCCGCTCGCCGGAGACAGAGGAAGGGGCTCGCGACGAGGGAGGGAGGGAGCCGAGATGCGCGCTCGCTGGGCCGCGCGCGCCAGGTCCACCACCCGCCGGAGACAAGGGAGGGGTGCCGGGCTCGCTACGAGGGAGGGAGAGAGTGTGGAGGGAGGGGCGTCGGGCTCGCTACGGTGAGAAGGGAGGGGCGCGGCGGTGGGTGAGGGATGGGTGTGGATTTGGGTCAGGGTTTGTTGGAGAAGACGAGATTGGGGTCCGTGACCCTTTTATTGTAGGTGACCTATACTACTGAATGGGTATCGTGTTTGGGTTATTTCTGTTGGAGACAGTCTAAGGCTTCGTTTGATAGGGCGGGATTAGCGTGGATTGGGGGGCCAAACCCTGCCACCGGTGGATCCGATCCATGCCGGGTGAGCAAACTGACGCGCGCATGTATTCATCTCAATTCATATGGGTTGAAGTGGATTGGAGTGAATTAAACTAAGTTACATTCCATTTTACTCAACACATGTGGATTGAAGTGAATACACGTGCATCCAAACAAGCCCTGAGTGCAAAATTCGCACTTGGGAAGACGTGGACGGGAGCGAATCCAACTCAGTCCCCCCTCAAACCGTGTGGGTCTCGCGCATCTCCACTCGTGGTCGGGAACGACTCACGCTCGTCACTCGCGTGCTCGCTCCGCTCCACTCCTAGGAATGACTCACGCTCGAGTGCTTGACGCCGACGCAGCGACGCTCCGCTCCGCTCTCGCTCGGCAAGCGTGACCGGCGGCAGCAGGTGCGCCTCCACCTGCTCATGTCCCCCATCTCCTCCTTCCAATCCCATGATCCCATCCCCTCTTTCTCGTGACGTTCGAGGGACTGCACTGCGAACATCATCCTGCATTGACTGTGGTCCGTGACATTGAGCAACGCAATATGTCGACCGGTGTGCATGGAGCCACCGGTGCCTTGAGCATGGGTCCCTCCGCTGTATATAATTCTATTCTTGAATTTGTTAAATTCAATATCTTTTTCACTATGATTTATGTGTAATATCACACACATGCACGTACATGTTGTCACCAATATGCTATTTATTTTCTAGATTAAATTAAACATAAAAATGCATAAATTCCTAACAGCGTAGGAATCAAAGTGGTAGTATCATTCAATACAAGGTTAGTGTTATTGATTTATTTATTTTTTTGCCCATTTGGTTCCATTATTGTTTGTATATACAGTGGTACATACATATATGTCATATGTAACTTGTAAAGTAAGCAACCATGCCAAAATCTGCAATATAGATAACATAAAGAGGCTACCTTACCACCATCCTTTTCATATGTGTAGGCATTTTACCATATACTTGCCATTGGATCATGTAAGATTGTTCAATTACACGTCGTAAATTAAAGAAGTGCTTCTTGGACTTGAAACTGAGGGATATGATCATCTATTTCTCACGTATGTACCTTGGATCATATCATTGATGTGTTGTACTCCCTCCGTCTAAAAAAGAATGACGTTATGGGATACGTGTATACCAAACTTTTTCAACTTTGACTAAGTTTGTAGAAAATACGTGCAACATTTATATCTCCAAATAAGTTTATTATAAAAATATATTCAACGATCTATCTAATGATACTAATTATGTATTATAAGTATTAATATTCTTTTATATATAATTGGTCAAAGTTAAAAAAAAAAGTTGACTTTTCAGAAAGCGACAATAACTTCTATTTTAGGACAGAGGGAGTAGCACTTTGCTTTTGATCTAATGAGATTGATATGTTAGGGGGCCATGGCCCCCCGGTGCCCCCTTAGCTTCGCCTGACCAAGGGCCTCAAGGTCCCCTCGCCTTCTTTGTGTTGACTTTGTGCGAGGCAGCGCTTTGCTCCACTCCGCAAGGCAGTGATCTAGCTCTAGGAGAGCACAACGACGTGCAACATCAACGATGTCCTGGACCATCGCACCAACAACCTCCTCTTCAACCTGGTAGTGAAGTGGCGCATGTTCTCGTATGCTCTATTGAGCTAGAGCAACCACAGCGAGAGGCCCAATATAAGCCTAGAGTCACAGCCCTAAAGCCAGTCAGATCACATAGTTTGGTGTCGCCACCGCACAGGACGCCGTGCCCATTGTCATTTCGATCCTTCAACCCATGAGATGCGACTATACTTAGCGCAAAATCTAACAGACGACCGGTCATGTCCACGCCCTATACCTGGATTTAAAAGCGAATGGGCTGATGGGCCTCTGTGTTTCCGGGCCACCCAACTAGTCTAACTTACGCCCCTTTAGGGCCTTAATTGTTTATTTTCTTTTTACATTTTTCTGTGTATGGTCCTGTTCGTTTCGCTGAAATTTGGTTTATACTGATTTGCTGTGAGAGAAAAACACTGTTCGTTCGCTAAAAAGTATTGCTGAAGTAGTGTGCAGAATATTGAGAGTTTCGGTCAGCTCTCTTCTCAACTTCTGCGGGGCGGCCAGCGTTGAAGAAAAATCACAGGAATTCATTTCGGAGGATGATGGATCCGGTTCCTGTAATTGAACTGCAAAACTCCCCTGCTGTCGCACCGTACAGAAACAAGTGTAACATGCGACGCAGCCTGCCTTCGCCTCCCCTCGAACGCGAGCAACACTGTTTTATGCGATTTTCAGCAAGAAAATGCGAAAACACCACACACCGCCCGTCACACCCTCTAGTGCTCCTCGAAGCTATGGCCATGGCCTCACCGTCTCCTGGCGAGCTGGAACGTGCGCTTCAAGAACTGGTTGGCGGCCTCGTTGTCGCGGTGGCAGAGCACCCGGAGGATCGTGTTCGGGTCGGCGGGATCCCACCTCCGCGTCGTGGGCGGCAGCGGCGTGCACCCGCCGCCGTCGTCCTCGCCACCGGCCCCACCGATGGAGTCGCACGTCGCGACGCTGAAGGCGTCGATGAGGTAGTCCGTGGAGCGCGCCATGAGGTCCACGACGGCCTCGGCCGTCTCCGCCTCCCGCGCCACCACGTCCTCGGGGACCAGCCCTTCACCGCACGTGGAGAAGGCGCGCTTCAGGCTCCGGAAGTCCTCCTCCACCGTGGCCTGGTCGGCGGGCGCGAAGCTCCGCTCGTTGCCGCCCGCCAGGAGCACCATGAGGAAGGCCTCGAAGGAGGCCCGCATCACCTCCCGCACCGCCACGGGCTGCGCGCGGTCCGCCAGCTTGGACACCAGGAACGACAGGTTCTGCTTCAGCAGGCGGAGCGCGGGGCGGATGCGGGCGTCCGCCACGCTGCGGGCGTACAGGCCCTGGTAGAAGGAGTGGCGGGAGTCCAGGAAGATGAGCCGGTGCGCGGCGACCTCGGCGACCGTCGAGATCGACGACTGCGCCGCGGCGCGCGCGAGGCCCAGGTGGGACGGCAAGGAGGACGACAGCGAGGTGTCCAGGGCCTCGACGTGGGTGAGCACGTAGTGGAGCGTGTTGAGGCGGACGTAGAGCCGCTGCGTGCCCCGGCTGATGGACGGCCGCGGGATGTGGTGCGAACCGCCGCCGCGCGGGCTGCCCTCCGGCGCCTGGCACGTCGGCAGCGCCGCCTTCTTCCAGAGCCGGAAGAAGCCCGAGTCTTGGTTGCACCTCGTCAGCGGCGGCAGCGGAGGGAGGTAGTTTTGTTTTGAACCTATCGTGCCATTGCATCAACCACGTACGTTCCAATAAGAAATAAACTTCTCTGGCACTCGATGCACAGAACAACCTGAAGCTTACCGCAAGACGCCACAAAGGAGATGTAGTCCTGGAAGATGGACTCCAGGCCGTCGACGAGATCGTGAACCACCTCGTCTTTCGCGCTGGCTGGGATCTCGGAGAATTCATCGATGGTAAACCTAGCCAGCTTCACCAGCTCCATTGCGGACCCGGCAAACGGTTCTTCCCTGGACTTGGGTATCCAGCTCTAGAAAACACGCAGCAGAGCAGAGCAGGGATCAGTAAGTTCTTTGTCAGTAAAAAATTCGAGCTCTGCCGTCCAAGTGTATGTACCTCAGTGTCTCTAGCTCTGAGGAGGCAGTCCCTGGCAAGCCCAAGCTTGTCGTCCATCCAGGCCTTGAGCAGTCCCATCACGACGGACTCCACCTCGAAGGGCTCCATGTCGCCCACGACGGCCTTGGCCCGGCCGTCGTCGCAGTCCGCCGCGTCCTCAGCCGTCATCTGCGCCAGGGCCTTCTCCAGCCTGCTTGCCGAGTGGAGCACGCGGACGAGCTCCTCGGTGAGGATGGTCACCTTGGCGAGGTACTGCCTCAGCACGACGCCGAAGCAGCCGTGCAGGGTGACCGCGGCCACCGCCACCGGCGCGGGGTGCCACCGCCTCAGCACCGGGCTGAAGTTCCTGCGCTCGAACATGGCCAGCTGCTCCGTGTCCCTGGCGAGCTGCATCAGGACGGAACCAGGGTCGCTGTCGCGGTCGATGATCACGCTGTCAACCTCGCCGAGTCCGTTCTCAAGTATCTGCAACCGGATCAAAAGCGAAATGGTCATGGATGAACAGAGGAATACTCTGTACCAGTTGCCGGCAGTTGCCATGATACAGAAGAAACATGAACTTATTACGTTGGTGAAGGCTCTCTTCATCGAACACCTGACGTAATAATCGACGCGGTCTCCAGCAAAGTTGCCGTCGCCGGCGCCTTCCCGGTCAGCGATGATCTTGCCCGCGGCAAGCGCCAGGGACAGCAGGATCTCCATGCCTTCCGTCGCAGCGCCACCGATGCCCTTCTCGTAGCTGTCGTAGTAATCCAGGAGGCGCTTCTCCGACCACTCCTGCATCCCACCGAGCGCGCTCAGGAGCACCTTGACGTACAGCGGGTCACGGCTCCCCTGCTTGGTGTCCGCTGCCACGTCAACGAGCACGGTTAGCGCCGCGGCGACGAGGTCCGGCTCGACCTGGCCTGTGATCACGTACTGCTGGAAGAAGACCCACGCCAAGCACACGTTGTGCAAGATCCTGTTGATGCCAAGCGTCGGCCACGTCTTCTTGATGAGCTCTAGGAGCTCGTCGACCTCGTCGAGCACGACGGTGCACTCCCTCAGGTCAAAGATGGTCTGGAGGAGGGAGCAGTAGAGGAGCACGTTGAGCGGGTACCCGTCGGCCCAGTGGCAAGCTTCTACAGCGGCACCGGCGGTGCAGGAGCGCCACGAGAGCGCGTGCACGGCGTTGGTGAGGGCGCGCATGACGTCAGAGTTCTTGCCGGTGTCGATGGCGCGAATCTCGGTTGCGCGCATGACCTCGCGGAACCGGAGCACGGCGGCATGGAGGCGATCGAGGGGGAGGGAAGGGTGCAGGATGAGTCCTGCCTCCAGGAGCTTGATCTGCCGGAACTGCCACTGGTGGTACTCCTCGGCGTCGGCGAACTCTGCAGGCTTGAGCTGCCGGAGGAGTTCCAGCGGGAGAACAATCGTCTCCGCCGTCCTGCCCACCTGTGAAAACCAGACTTGTCAAGGAGAAGATGTAAACGAAAACGATTAATGCCGCCATGGGCGCCGACCTGACCGAGGACGGTGCGCATGAGGGTGCGGCGCAGGCGCGCGTCACTCTGGTCGGTGACCCGCATCTGCTGCCGCATGATCTCCGCCGACGTCATCGGCCGCCGCACGCGGCCAGGGGACGCCGGGCCCGACGTCTGGCTCAGCGTGCGGGCCATCATCGGCTGCGCCCCCGACGACGGCCGCCGTGGCCTGAGTCCGAGCGCCTTCTTGACTCGGCTGCCCATGACGCCGCCCCCAGTGCCACTCCTCGAGCCAGCGCCGGCAACGGGCGACGACACCTCCCCTTCCGCCGCGACGCCCCTGTTGAATACCGCCGGGCCGGACGAGCGGCAGGACATGAAGAAGATCTCGTACGCGGTCTCGCGGAGCTCGACGGGGCCGAGTGCATCGACGCGGCCGAAGGGGCAGTCGAGGCCGACCGCAGCGAAGTCGAGCTCGGTGATGTCGGACCGCGTCGCCGTGGAGCTCGCGGAGGCGGAGCGCGAGCGCTGGTGGCCCCCCATCTCGTCCCGGCACGGCCCAGCCACCGAGAGAGACAGCCGGGGCTCGCGCACGATCGGGAGTTTGGGAGGTGACGCGCGAGGACTCGGGGGAGAAGTGATAAAAAATTGCAAGGGCAGAGAGAGATCGGGCAGAGACGCCTGGTGCATGCCGCGCCCAAATTGAGCCAACTATTTCCGCGCCGCGTTTGCAGGGTAACCAAGGGGTGGGTTGGACTGACAGAATTTCATCCTGCTGCATGCTTTGCACCAGGAAAAAGGAAGAGGAAGGAAAAAAGGAGAAAAAAGTCACGATAAAAAACGGCGATAGCTGCTACTTTTCGAAATTTATGACCGCTCCTCGGAAATATACAAGCTGCATATTCTACCAAAATGCCAGGTATCTGTATCAACATCTGGATTTCAACAATTTCAAAAAAAAAAAAAAACACAAAAGCTATCCTTTGCCCGTGTGATCCATTTGGCTTTATCACATGAATTTTTTGGCCGTCCAATGTCGTCTTCTTCATGTGCGTGGTCCATGTCACGCGCCCTCTTTTGCTTCGTCCTTTGGTCTTTCTTTTTTCTGATGGTGTATGAGCCCCACTTGTCAGCTTATTTTGGGGAAACGCGTCATTTATCTCTTTGAACTGTTAATTTCCTTTCTCCATTTCGTTTCGTCTCCCCCTCTTCGCAGGCGGTGGTAGAGGCGGAGCCCGAGGCAGAGGGGGCTCTCCGTCGTCAATTTGCCATCGTTGGTTTGTTTCCCTTCCATTTCTTCTTCAGATGTTGTAGATCCCGTCGGTGTAGAGGGGTGGTTTTGGTTGGATTTTCGCCGTTTTGATGTTCTGTTTGTTCTTTTGTTTTGTGGAGGCAGAGTTCGAGGTCGAGGCGGAGGGTCTCGTCGTCGTCAATTCTGCCTTCATTGGTGAGTTTTCGTTGTAGTTCATGATTAGATGTTGTAGTATCTGTTGTTTATTTGGTGCTTATGGTTGGATTTTAGTCGTTCTGGTGTTCTCTCCGCTCATGTGATTTGTTGAGGCGGATTGTGAGGCTGTGGCTGAGGTTTAGCCTGAATCCGAGGCCTAGGTAGAGGGTGAGGTGGAGGTCGAGGCATAGTTGAAGCCGGAGTTGTAGGCGGAGGCGTACTCCTGGTTTGAGTTGGATTCGTAGTTTTTTCTGGTGTCGATTTGGATCTCTTCTCTCGTATGCTAGTTATTGTCTTGTTTGCTCTGTTATTCAGTTTGAACATGACATCAACTTCCAGTGAGCTAGCTAGTAGTCTGGCTCCGGTGGTAGTATACTCGCTAGAACTACACTGCATGTTTTGTCGATTGCTTTGTGTTTGCTTGCAGTTTGCTATACCACATAGTAATTCTAGTCTGGAATTCCATTTTGCCTCTATTTATTTGATTTCAGTTTGCAATCATCGTTTTTATCAGGTCTGTGCTTTCTGTATGCTTGCAATTTGCAATATCAGAGTAATTTCAGTTTAGGAATTTTATTTTGCTTCTATTTATGTGCTTTCAGTTAGCTTCCAACTGTTTTATCAGTTATGTGCTTTCACTTTGCTTGCAATTTGCAATATGAGATAGTAGTTTCAGTTAGGAATTTCAATTTGTTTTTATTTATGTGCTTTCATTCTGCTATTAACATTTTTATCCGACATTGTTTGTCTGCAATCTCTAGTGAAGGTTTGAATTTGGTTGCACTAATGAAGGTTTGTCGGCTATCTGAATTTTTTTTATTTGGTATGTTTGAGCTGGAGCTGGATGTGGTGGAGGAGGTGGATGTGGAATGTTTCCAGTGTAGCATAGAGCATGAGATGGAGGTGGGTTCCTGACGGTGTTAATGTTTATTTGGTGATATTTCATAATTTGAGGTACTGATCTACTGCTAAATACAATTTTTTGGACATATTTGACAATTATCCTTTTTTGCTTTCATGTCATAATTTCTTTGATACAATTATCTATTTATTTTTTATTTATTTTGGATTAATTTTATAGTTACAGTAGACTTCAACTTCACTTACAGTTGTTCATCATGTGTAATTCATAGGCATTTTTTATGTAATTAGTACTAATTTTAAGTTAACAGTCCTTGTATATTTTTTAGTGGATTATGTCTTCTATTTGCTCTGCTTTTAGTTGATTTTCCTGTATTTCTATTCTTTGGCAAATGTGGCAAAGGTGTTGCTTTTAGTTCATCTATTTGCTTACCTAGTGGCTTTTAGTTCATTGCCAGTTTAAGGAAGAAATATTCTCAGGCCATTTGGCAAATTCTGCTTTTGATTTTCTATTTTTGCTTTTATCTGATCTGTTTGCTTACTCAAATATCCTCAGAATTTTTTTTGGTATTTGCATTTCATAGAATATTTTTGTTTTTTGTATTTTGTTTATCCCTCCCAAAGTATTCTTTTCTGCAATCCATAGAAACTTTCTGGTTTTGCTTTTCTATATATTTACCTTGCTTTTTTGCTTCATGCAATGCTCTGAGCAGGATGATGCGGATTCATTTCTAGTGTTGATTTGTTTTTTTGTGAGTATTTTCATTGAGTTCTTGTTTTTAGTTGATGCAATACCCTCAGTTTCCCTAGTTTTTTTTTGCTTTCTACTTATTTCTGTATTTATGAACTTAGATCAGTAAGATGTTATTCCCTGTCGTGATAATGCCCTTACAAATTCTCTCATGTTGCTATGAATTAATTTTGTTGTTACATTAGAGTTGAACTTTACTGATACAGTTAGATGTGGTGTATTTGCTAGGTATTATTGATTTAACTAATAGTAGACTTCAACTATACTTACTGTTTATTAATCAGTTGTGTTTTCTATTTTTTTGTTATTTTGGTATTTGTAGTTGGAGTTGGAGGTGTTGTATTTTTTAGTGTTGATTTTTTATCATTGGTGAGTTTTCATTTTTTGGTTGGATTTTGTTCTTATGGTTGATATTGATTTGATTCTATGTAGTCACTGTTTTTCTCCTTCCTGTGTGGCAGAGTTGTGGAGATGTTCTGAGATTTGGGGGGGATGGTTGCTGATGGTCTTTATGTGTCATTGGTTTTTCTTCTTTGTTTTTTTGTTATATTCCAGAATCTATGCTACTGCTCTAGCTCTAAATATTGGTTTCCTGGTTCTAGATAACTTAGTTTTTAGTATCTTGTTATTACTGATTAATTTTGTAGTTACAGTAGAGTTCAATTGCACTTATTGTTGTTGATAAGATGTAATTTATAGGTATCATTGATGTAACTAGTTATTTGTCTAAAAAGTTAGATAGCCATGGCAAATATTTGTAATGAACTATCTTTTTTTATGATTGCTTGGCTGATCATTAGGATCCAATGAAAATATTTTTTTCTTTTATGAAGATGTTTTTTATGATTGCTTGGCTGATCATTAGGCTCCTATATATAAGTGTTTTGAAGATGTTTGACTATTATCAATTTTTGCTTTCATGTCATAGTTTCTCTTCTACACTTATCCATTTATTTTGGATTAATTTTGTAGTTACAGTGGACTTCAACTTCACTTACAGTTGTTCATCAGGTGTAATTCATAGGCATTTTCGATGTAACTAGTACTAAGTTTATCAGGATTTGTGAATTTCTTTAGTGGATTAGGACTTTTATTTGATCTGCTTTTTCATAGAGTTTTTTTGGTTTCTGATATGTTTGGTTCATCAAATGGCTGCAGATAGTTTTTGTTTTTTGCATTCCATAGAAAATTTTGATTTTTGTAGTTTGTTATTTGTTTTCTTGATCTGTTTGGTTCAACAAATGGCCTGAGATAGTTTATGATTTTTGCAATTCATAGAAATTTTTTTATATTTGTAGTTTGTTACTTTTTCTTTGAATTTTTATCATGCTTTTGCTTGTTATTTTTTAAATTTTTTCCAGCTTCCGAAATATTGGCTTCTTAGGTTTAGGTATTCTTTGAAATCTCCATCTATATGTTGGTACTTTTCACGTCATGGCTCCCCTCTTTGCGATTTCTTTGTATAGTTGTGTCCAGCTGGTTGTTTTTTTACTGCAGTCTTAATCTTTTTGTTTCACTTAATATAGTTGTCATTGCTACCTGTTGTGTCTTAATATAGTTGTTTTCTTTCATTGCTTAATGTGATAGTGCTCAGTGGTTGTTCTTAATGTTAATCAGCACCTTTTGCCACTTGGTTCTTGCTGTATGGTACAAAAATTACGTTCGCTCAATCTTATCTGATGCAACTATCTGAGTTCATCTCTTACCGGCCTCAATGAAGTACTATTTGGTTAGTTCTCCCTCTGAATTCAGGTTGCTATTTGTACAGAAGGTGAGAAAGGGGAAGCATTGTCCTGGCCTATACCTATATTTGCATGAGGCCCAACTATCGATCTCAGATTTGTCCAAGTTGAGTTGCCATCTCCTTGCAGCCGACCCTTGAATGACAGACATTTTAAATAGCTGATAAGTCTATTTGTCCTCACTGAATAGATCTAGCCATGTGCATGCACTTTTGTGAATTTACATTTGGCAAGCACTCCTACATAGAAATCTGAGCAATTTTGGTTCTAAAAATATGTTCGTGCTCACTTTTGTTTCTAAAGAAAGTTTTGCTTAGATGAAGTAGCATTGCTGAAATCTCATATGCGATTCTGTTCAGTTTTTCTTTCATTGCTTAGATGAAGTAGCATTGCTAAAAATATGTGTCTTATTCTGAAAAGGAGCATGTCCTTCAATAAAGTACCAGAACATTGAATTTTATTTGCATAATCTATTTTTGTGTTGTTCAAGTTGTGCCAAATCTCTTTTGATGACTGAATTTTTAGCTTGTTCTGTTCAGTTAATAAAAATGCTACTGTGAAAGTATTCAGTAGAGCAGTCTTATATTCTTGAATGGTGTTATTTCAGTTCTGAAATTATCGCCCTGTTGTGAAATGTTTTTTCCTGCTTTAAACTGAATTACGTGCTCTCAGTTTTAATTATGTGCTCTCACTTAGCAAGTTTCAGTTACCAATTTTAGTTTGTAATTTCAGTTTGCTTCTA